AGGCTGTATTCATTTTCCCAGTTTTACTGAGATAGTAACACAACATAGAACACTGGCTTTTACAAATATAATGATTTGACATATGTATATCTGTGAAAGTTTGATTACTCATCTTTTAAGTTTTGTTTTTTGTTTTGTTTTGTTTTTTTTTTGAGAAAGAGAGAGAGAGGGAGAAGAACAAACGGAAGGGTAGAGAAGAAAGGAGAGCGAGGTCCCACTTGGGGTCTGACTCGATTGTGCACAAGCCTAACGGGGCTTAACACAAACCATGAGAATATAGCAACCGAGCAAACCAAAAGAGTCCGACAGCTTAACCGACTGAGCCACCCAGGTGCCCCATACCTACTTTTTTTATTTGAGTTTGTTCAAGATGGTTAGAAAATCCCACGGCATGCTAAACTCATGTATCCCACTCAGGAATTATAAAGGTGTTCAGAAATAATCGGGCCATTGTAGATAGATTCAGAAGAATGGCGTTATATATACAGTATTAGGTATCTAAAGAATAACAAAATAAAAAATTATTTATTTGGGTGAGTGGGAAGCTCTTGTAGAAGGTCCAGGTTTTAGGGTTTGTTTCATGTCGTAAACAGCTTTCCTCTGCTAGTTGGAAGAAAGTGCATGAATACCTAGAGCCTCATTTGAGCATGATCCAAATATCCTTGAAATATTAAAGTTACTGAGGGCGTTAATCCAATGTAGTGTCTGGCTTCTTGTGGATCTTGGTCTCAGTGGTCATGATCTCTGTTTGTAAAAGCTTGAGCTCCCTCCATCAGGTCTGCCCAGATCTGACAGGTGGAGCCTGGCTTGGGACCTCCCACTCTCCATCTCCTCTGCCTTCTCCACTCTTTCTCTCTCAAATAAAAAATAAATAAATTTTAATAAAAAAATAAAGACTGTTTGGTGGCAATGTGCTTTTGAATGGGTACTTTTAAGAATGAAAGAGGCTTTATTTTAAATCTACAAGTATAATTAGTATTAGTGTTAGTTAGCATCTTTTCTTTGTCCCCCTGTTATGGTTCTTTCTACAAGCCTATCTGGATAAGTAAACCCTTTCTGGAATACCAATTTACAGAGTCCATCTAGTTTTCTTTTCTGCCACAAGAAATCTCCATATTTAGTCTTCGATGGATCTAGCCATTGTCCATTATTATTTCCAGCTCAATACCATGACTTCATCCATCATAAGGATCTTATGCTCAGCTCAAGTTTATGCCCACTCTGGAACATCATCCTCTCCAGTTGTCTGAAAATGCCCACCTCCTCGGGGATCTATGTACTTCCTTCTCTCATGAGATCTTATTTCTTACATTCTTTTTCCCATCAACCGCAATATATCTAACTATTAGTGGAATTTCCAAACCTCCAATGGAGTGTATATCTGGAAAAAAGGACTCATTCTCATGTGCAGGAAGAAAGGTCCAAACACCTCACACCCAAAGCTTGCTGGTGCATAGATGCCAACTGAGTACTGGGTAAGCTCCAAAGGTTTCCGAGCGTCTCTCCTCCAGGCTTGAAGGGTCTTATTCAGCTTCTTCATTGTGGCAGCAGCTGAGACCAGCCAGGAGATAGATTGCAAAAGAGGATTAGGTTTTAGGAGTGTTCTCCACCGTGTAATGTCAAACCTATTCTTTTTGATATAGAACAACGATAGTGAAGTGGCTCTAGAATGTCAACCAGGTAGCGCTCATGGAGAAAAATACTGTTGATAAAAAAAAAAACTGTAAAACAAACATCAAAAGGAAATGCTATACTTACTTTTAAGAAACGCTGCTAACTTGTGCATTCTAGGAAAGAATGTGAAGAAACTCTCACCTGTGAAGGTAGCAGGTCTGGTTAAGTCCCAGTCCCGATGGGCTTGGTAATCATGACCCTTGAGGAAAAATCAACTGACGAAGGGCTTAGTGGGTCTAAAACACAAAGGGGGGTCAAGGTTTAATGTCCTTCAGGGATAAAAGGAATGGACCATATTTAGGGCAGGAGGGATTGTACCGTTCTAATGCAAAGACAGCCACCGGGAGAAAGTGCAAGGAATAAGTGCCAGTGGATGTCTCACAAATGAAGAAGTGGTTCAAGACATGGATGGTGCAAAGTTGCCTCCTGGTGGGAGATATTTGGTGTAGACACTTGTAAAGCATTGACCCCGGGAAGGAAAGGTGGAAGGCTGGGCTGTAAAGGTCTGGAATGTCCGAAGAACTAACTCTCTGGGGGTGGTCTGCAGAAAAAAGAGGGGGCCCATGGGCGGCTAGCAAGGACAGGGCTGGCTGGCATCTAGTGACATCTGTAGCAACCCACATCATTCAACGTCGAGTCACTGCAGATTCCGTCTCAGAGCAAGCTGCCAAAGAGCTGCAAAAAGTTCAACAGGGTCGTCGGGGTGAGTCAGATGTTGAGCTAATCAAGGGACAGGCAGATATCACAGCAAACCTAAGAGGAACTGGTCTAGTGTCTCCACCCAGTGGTTTCGCTACTTAGCTGCCTGGTTCTCCAGCTCATCCAACCCAACACTTTCGTGCTGGGAAGAGCGTGTTATCTCCAGTGACCTTGAAGAAGGAAAGTAGCAGAAGAAAAGTGGGAAGTACAGTACATAGTACCACTCTAGAAATTTTTCCACCAAGGTGGGCGTAGATTTGCCTACCATTGACTGAGAAAGACCTGGATGCCAATGGTCCGGCTTCTTAGGGCGCCCCATGTGACTCCGCTAGTTTGAGGTGCTTCCACATGAGTTTTTGTATCTCACTGGCAGGAGCACATAGGTTGCAGACCCAAGGGTCACTTTGGTCAACTGTTTGTCTGACTAAGTTCTAGCTTGTTCAAGCACAGCACCTTGAATCAAAGCTGTGACACTGAAGCATCCATTTCCCTTGTTAGACTGATCCACACTGCACACAAAGCTGGAAAATAAGTTGGAAATGATGAGACTGGCAGTCCCTGTGGGATTCCTGTAGGGTGGCGGAACCGCTGGCAAACCCACCTACAAATAAATTTCCACACAGTAGATAGGCCTTCCAGAGAGCAGTGACTCCTGAGGTGTGAGTTCCCACCCACCACCGCGCCAGGCTGCAGTCTCACCCTGAGCTCTGGAAATGAGAGAGTATGCTGGCGAGTTTCTGCAATGGTGGGTCCAGGCTGGGCTTGCAGCCTGCTGAATGTGGTGAAGGTCATGGATGGCTTACATTATTCTTCTTCTTTGGACCTTTTTTCAAGTGGGCATTCTGCTAGCAAATGTGTGCGTGTGTTTAGGGGGGGCGGAAGAGCCATCTGCTGATCGCACCTGTATGGCGAGCATGCCTTCATCCCCACACAATGAGCCTTCAAAAGGGAACCCGGAACAGGAACATTATCAGAAATGTTTTGAGCCCACTGTGTTGAAATTGGAAAAGAATTGTGCAGGTGCACTCTGGTTCCATTCATCAGCTATCAAAGTCAGTTGTTGCAGCCTTTGTTTGCACCACACCAGCCTTCAAGGTGTCAGGCATTTGAAACTCTGTGCTGTCAGAGGCAGCTGGCTCCAAGCATCCAAAAGTTCAAAGGCTAAAATGAATTTTCATAACTGCCTGAAACATGTTAACTGTAGCCTCTGTGGGATTCTCTCTAGTGTTCCTCCCACCCAAGAAAGATACTAGCGCCCATCTAATGCTAAGATAACAGATTTAAGGGTCCAGTTTCTTCCTGTCTTTTAGCATCTCAAAGTTATAACTTTGGCCTTGAAAAAGACTCCATTCCAATGCTCACGCTTAATTTCCAGCTAGTATTTGAAACTTATGGAATCTCTAACCATATGCATAGTTTTCTTTGGTTTTGAAGGAAACAGTGAAGATAGGGAGCATGATACCTACATACAAGCTGCCACAAAACTTTGAATTCTATACTAGCACACATAAATGGGTATATTCCTTCAGGTATAGCACATTGTATTTAGCTGTGTCATAGCA